TCTTGGCCAGCAAGGAGAGGACCTCGGAGTGGATAACTTTCAACGTCGCTTTAAAATCGGCAGAAAGATTGAGCGACGGAAGTGTCAGTGCTTGTCCCAACTTCGCATTCAAATACTCAAGTTTATCCTTGTGTCTAGCAGCACTAGCCCTACCAATGTCCATATCCATGAAGGACACGTACTCAAATATTGACTGCTTGAGGAACTTTAAATCTTCCTCTGAAGAAGCAGCATGACGATCAAATGGAGCAGGGCGAGATGTCTTGACTTGCCCCCAGGAAGCGAACAAGTCTTGGATAGAACGCACAATCTTGTCAGCATCCTGCAAAGAAAATTGCCAATATTGAAGATTCTCACTACAACGAACAAGATGGAAATAAAAGTGAAGCAAATATTACCTCATCAACAATCGTGGAAGATGGCATATCCTCAGCCAAGTCTGCTACCTGTGACTCCTCCATTTGTGAAGACTTCTCCTTGTCTGAGCGAAAAGATGTTGCCACAACGGGCAGACTCATAGAAGTATCTGCAGAACTCAAGAGCAACAAATCAGAAACCAATAGCACAAGCAAAGGTAAGGCATCAAAAAACTGAATTACCTTCTTCTTCGATGTTTGGGGGGTCGATGCCCTGGGAAGAAGGTAGCTCATCCATGGGTTGTGATGAGGATTCTGGGACTGAAAATGTCTCCTTAAGCGTGGTCCCCTCATCAACCGGTTTGGATGAAGCAGCCTCAGCGGAGGATGATGGAACAGGAGCTGTCGATGCCAAAGCCTTTAAAGGAGAGGCTGAACTTTTCTGAGAAGTCCAAATAAATTATCAGCACACTAGAAAAGTTTCAAGTATGAAAAGTATGCTTGTGAGTAAACCAATTTAATTACCTTCCTCCTGATGATAAGAGGGGTATCATCATCATCATCAACATCATCCTCCAGAATGGGAGATGCTGAGGCTGGCCGTTTGCGGCTTGGGGCACTCTTGACTGTAGTAGGCTTGGCAAGGAGAGAAAAAGATGGACGAGCAGACTGTTTAGCGTGACGAGGAGGAGAAGGACTCCGGATGGACAAAGGAGTGACTAAAACAGGAGGAGGGGAAGAAATGCTTGGTTGGTCTAGTGAATGAAAGGCACGATTGGCATCAGTCGCAAACAATCCGCGCTTCACTGACGGCCAGAGCTGTTCAAAAAGAGGATGGATGGCGTGGCTAGAATTGAAGGGGGCTAAGGAAAATAGCTTGTTAAAAGAAGATTGCGAGCATTTATAGCCTCTGCTTCAGCCTTATTAATAATATGAAAGCGGTCAATCAAATTCCTTGAATAGCAAGGAGGAACAGGCCAAGTTTTGCCGAAACCAAGTTGGCGAGCAAAAAATTGAGGAGCATAAATTTCTACCCCTGCTTGGCGTTGGTCTCAGTTAAAATATCATGAAATAGCTCCCTCCCGATTAAAAACTGGATCCAAATGAGCAGGGAGGTGCTCGCGCTGTCTATAGTGGAGGAGAGATGCACATAGTTTGGAGTTAAAAAAGGAGGAAAAGGAAGGGATTGAATCCAAAGAATAAAAGAATGAAAAAATGTCCCTTCTACATATATTTACAGGAGCCAAGGGCTCAATGGCTAGCCGAGGAGCGAGAAACTGATGGAGCACCAAGCAATGGAAAATAGGATCTCAACCACAGTTGAGTGAACCAAAGAGGTCCACTACTAGTGGGAGATGCACCATTCTTCAATTGGGTTTGAAGAGAAGCCATGCCTCTATAAAGGGCAGCCAAAAAGAAAGAACATAAATTCAAAGGCTTGTCACCCGCTAATTCGTGCGCTATGGGTAAATAACTCAGGGAGGGCTTTATGCTTGGCACACACAAAACTTATTTACAAAGCCAAACTAGAAGAAAAACCACTCGCTCAGTATGGAAAGGCTCAGCGCTCTAATGATTGTGAAAGGTTTGCAGGCTTGAATAAGACTCGGTGTAGTTTTTACCAAACTTTGGGGCGCTACCAGAAACCAAGATACCAGGAAAAATGGTATCGCACAAAGGTGGTAGATTCACTAGGGCCCCAACATCCCTTAAAGTAATAGACAAGGGGCCAAGAGGGAAAATAAAGGTATTAAACTCGGAAGACCAAAAACTCAAAGCGATCGAAAAAAGTGCTGAATCAAAAGTAAGGGGTCGAATAGAGATTTCTAACAAATCAGAAATCCTAGCATTATCAAAAAGTGTTTTAGTAGGACCATGGCCAAGAAGACGAGCATGCCACATACGGAAAGCCAAGTGTAAATACCTCTTTCGCGAAGTGGCCCCAGCGGCAGATAGTTTAGAAATGGAAGGCCTTGAGTACAAGGAAACAGCTGACCCACCGCCGCCTGTTTGACTGCCTCTGCATTGTTGAAGAAAGGACCTAGGTAGAACTCATTGAGTTTGACATTGGCGGACGCGAGAAAACTCGGAGTTATGTATGGACGACTCATAAGTTTCTGAAAGTCATCAAAACTAAAGGAGTCACCAGTTTGAGATTGTGAAGTAGCCATTAGAGATAGAACGAAGTTTTTTCAAAGTTACGTAGTAGGGAAGCAAAAGATAAACAGTAAATCGTGGGACAGACGCAAAAAATTGAGGTGTGATTTAATGGTGCAGTGAAATGGCGTGTTTGGGGGTTATAAGGGTTTGCAAAACGACGCACCTTTTCAAGTTATAGAAGAAAGCAATGATTGAAATTCTTGGGAATTTCGAATGTTGCTGGAAACACAAAGTGAATATGGCAAAATTTAATAATTGGTATTAATTCTGCCATATTGGGAGTAATTGTTGACACATAAAAATTCAGCTCAAATCAAACGGCCCAAGGAATGAAACCCAATTGGAGATCCCCAAATCAGATAGCTCAAAGAACGAAGCCCAATCAAACAATTCAGGATGAAGGCCCAAATAGGAAGGCCCAAGAACGCGGTAACGCCATCGCCCAAGTTTGCAAGTCGCCCAAAATCTGAGCGAATGGAGTGCCATGTAGTCGCCCAAAACTGTTACTCTATTCTCGCCCAGACCTTCAAGTCGCCCAAGGTCTTAGCAAACGTAAAGTGTTGTGGTTATCAAGAAGTGCAGTTATCAAAGTAGTTATTAAAGCAACCCTATCACGTTCCACGATTCAAGGAAGTCAATCGAAAACGGTTGAACGACGAAGAGTAATGACAATAGTTAAAAAATACAGTTTCATGACAAGATGGTCATTACGAGGAAGTCAATCGAAAACGGTTGAACGACGAAAAGTAATGGCAATAGTTAAAAAATGCAGTTTAATGACAAGATGGTCATTACGAGGAAAGTGGGCAGTTGTAAAACAATCAAGCAGTTTTTAGGCGGTTGATCACAAAGAGATCATCCATGGAGTATAAAAGAGAGAAAAGACATAGAGAAAAGGACCGAATCAAAAACTCTCGAATAGAGAACATGTAATTTTAATTTCCTTAACTTAGACTTAAACACTTTTTTCAGTAACTCGTGTGCTTGCGCCCCTTGAAGGCACTTTGTTTTTAATTTCCAATTGTAAAGTCATCGCCAATAAAAGAACACCCCTTTTTGAGACTTTGTTTCAAGAGATTTGTCCCTTACACAATCGTCTGATCCCTTTTAATTGTTAGCGACTAACCCGCGCGAAACAGCTACTTTCTTTTATTTTTGTTTATTTAATGAGATTGAAAAATTCGTCATTAAATGGCCAAAATGAAGGGATTGTGAGTTTTGCTAAATAATTGAAAGGTTATGGATGAATTACGCTTAAAAAAGATTGAGAACTAAAAATACAATTTTTTATAAATAGTGGCATAATTTGATGTTTTTGTGGTCATATCATAACAAAATTTATTATCTTTTTCAAATTATATGGCAAGGGCAAGGGCCAGATCCCACAATTTTTTTTAGCGCTCTTTATTAATAGACAAAGAAATAATTAGGAAAAACTTGGCTCTAAATGGATAATTTGAAAACGAAAAAAAATAAAATAAAATTTACCTCTGCTGTTTTTTGTAGGAATTTCGACTTGTAGAAGGAAAGCAATGAGGTCAATATGAAAACCTAATTAAACCCCATTTGCTCCATTTATTAAGACTCATTTTCACTCGATATTATATGGGATCCAAAAATTTTATCAATTTTTTAATTACATATTTCATCAACTTTTACTAAAATCTACTAAAAATCTAACTTTTTACCAAAATCAAATAGGGCTAAATTATTAAGTGACATGATACGTATTAAGTATGAAAGTACTTTGTCATGTGATATCTCATCCTCATCCAATCCAAAGTCAGCTCTTAATGATAAATTCTTAGGATCGACCAAAGCAAAGATGGTATATAGTAAAATATTTAGTTGTCTTGAATCTTTTGGTAGAACTAGAAATAAATTGAACAAATAAATCAAAAGAATTTATATGAGGAGGCTACTACAATGTCAGAATTTTTTGTACAGAATCTCTACAGGCTTCACACGATAGAATGTGTTAGCATTTTTTTATTTTTTTTTGGCAATTTTCTATTACATGGGGTCCAACGTGGGACCCACCTCTCATGTGGGTGACTTGTGAACATCCTGTGAAAACCCACCCTGTACGTATGGATTTATCATTTCTACAATCCGGTCATTGAGGATGATTGCTTGTACAATCTACTTTTGTTGTTCAATTATAACATTCATCCTCGTCTCAAGATGTTTCATCATGCTTATGTGATAAATAAATGAATAATACTTGTGCATTTCTTAAAATGTATGAATAAAAAATTATTTGAGTATTTATTAACATAGCCAAACATAGGCTTGGCGTCCTCAGTCACTCATCATGAATAGGAGTTGAGCTTCATTTTCAAGATTTTTCATTCTATGAAAAAAAATTCCGTACACAGCTTTCTGGGTTCTTTTTCTTCTATTAATAGATAATATTTCATACCTATCAAATGAGGAAATAAATCTGAAAATTTCACTTTTTAAAAAAAAATATTAATCGGCAAATTCCAAAATAAATCAACTCGTGATTTATTCTCACAAGTCACATCTAAAAAAGGTTAAACGATCCACGCCAGTGACTGTATATACATAACTGCCTGCAGTCTTATGGCTCAAGAGTTCCTTGCAATTTCATACCTTACAATTGTTGAGGAAAATTGGAAAAAAGAGCAAACCATCCCAAATACAGAATATCTTAAATTACTAAGACAAACTTTTCACATTACAATCTCTGGCTTCAAAATGCTAGATTTTATTTCTTTGTGAGGCAAAACCACGCCTCCGTTGGTGTAAATTTCATCACCAACATGAACATCTTCTCCAAGGATTGTCATGTTTTCCACTCGAGCCCACTGCCCAACAGTTGAGTGCCAGCCGATGATGCTACTCGAAACGCACGCGTGTTTCTTGATGCGGACCCCACGCATTACCGTGCATCGAGACAGTCTAACACCCGATTCAACAACACACCCGGGCCCGATTGCGACATCAGGTCCAATCAAGCATCCCTCCCCAATTGTGGCACTCTCATCTACCAGAACATTGCCAATAATATGAGGTCCAAAGGCCAACTTAGGAGAAGATTTCTTCTTCAAGGAGTCCAAGTATAGTCTCAGGCCAGTGATGTAATCCCTTGGTTGTCCAATATCCATCCAAAACCCGGGAAGGACCATTGCATAAAGCTTCTTTTCTTTTGCGATTTTTGGGAACACCTCTTTCTCAATTGATGTGGGGCGTAATTCAATACGATCAAGAACAGAAGGATCGAGCAAGTAAATGCCAGCATTGATCTTGTTACCCACAAATAATTTTGGCTTCTCAACAAACCTCTCTACTTGCCCAGTTGATTCTTCCAAAACAACAACACCATATTTTGAAGGCTCGTCCACCTATATCATTAACAGGTTTTAACTTCAACTAAATCTGACTTCAAAAATAACGCTTCAGAAAATTTAACTAGGGACTAATATTAAACAGGACCTTACCTTGGTCACCATTATGGAAGCCTCACCTCCATGGGATTTATGGAATTCAATCATCTGTTTGAGTGGGTATTCACTGATAACATCACTGTTGAGAACGAAAAAAGGCTCTCCCGAACCATCTACCAGATAATCCCTAGCCAGAGCAAGGGGACCTGCAGTTCCAAGTGGCTCAGTCTCTTGGGAGCATGTAATCTTGATCCCAAGTTTCTTCTCGAATTCTTTCAAGAAGTTCAGCATACCCTGCAAAAGAAGAAGACGGCGACTCCTTTTTTTACCTGATCTATAATTAGTATTGCTATAGTGAACGTGCAAGAAGAGAATGAGAATGTAAAGCAGTTTACCTCTGGCTGATAACTTATAGCTAGGACTACTTCAGTCACTCCAATAGCCTCGAGAGCCTCTATCTAATTCAATGAAAAATAGAATAGCTAACATGACATACACAAAGTTAGGTGTGGGGGTGATGAAGGGGATTCGGCATAAAATGTTCTTGCACGAGAACAGGATGTACAACTCAGACACCAAATCATTGACACAGACCAAAGGTTTATAGTAATATTCATGTTTCTTCACAAAAATTCTCAACCAGAAATTATACTACAATTTAAAAAATTGGAAAATTAGTCTATTTTTAAAGATATTGATTAACCTCTGATTCTGTTAGCAGCTGGTTCGAGAAAGTAATTTCACTCACAAAATTTGAAACTGGAGACATAGGTTGTTATAGTATATACATATAACATGTTTAAATTGGCAAACTGTGCTGAAATTTGTTCACAGTCAGGATTAGTAAACCTGGAATATGCATATAAAAATATATATTCTTTAGCAAGGTCAATGGGAAAATGAAAAGATGACTATAAAAAGGAGTAGATACAATTAAATATGCAAAGCTGAAAAAAGAAATGGATCCGGAATATGATACCTGATGCAAGATCATGGGCTTGTTAGCAAAGTCAACAAGAGGCTTTGGGTAACTGAGTGTCAATGGCCTCAATCGAGTACCAAACCCTCCAACTAGAATTAGAGCCTTCATCCTGAGATTTAGATGATCTCCTTTATTGTATTAACGAAACAGCCTGAACTTCAATCCATTGTTATTAAAATATGAGGTATAGTCTCTCTGTATTTATGCAAAAAAAGGAAGAAGCATGCAGCACTACAGAACTCAATAGTGACGTCTGTAATTGGATATGCTGATAGATGTCTCCTTTTCATGAAAGTTGCCGATCGGTCAGGCCCGTTTTAGATGAAAATCACATGAATGTGCAGGTGCAAGGAATAGTAAAGAAAATTGAAAGCTATGGAGAAACAGCCAATTTTTTGCATACGCATCATAAGACGACGTAGAGTGCTAAAGAGGCTGGAGAATGTGTAAAAAAAGGTTTAGCGGGGACGGAAACAAACTTCCAGCTATACAACAGGCGTGATCTTTGAATGAGAGTGATAAATCCTCTGAACTTTATAGTGAATTTCCTGTTTTAGACTACAAGGAGAGCACCACAATACAATGCATGCTATAGAAGAGTTTCGGAGTAAGTTATTTAATACAATATTCCCAATGAAGTTGGAAATAGCTAAAATTACATTACATGTTATAGTAAGAATTCCTAAAAGATCTTTCAAAACCGTCAATGAAGATATTTCAAATCCTAACTCAAAATTGTTAGAGGCTGATCTTCAGACGTGGAAATTTTAAGCAAATATTTCTCAAAAACTCAGATGACATAGATAAAGTGGAAAACTTCTCCTCCCACTATTAAATTTCTTCTCAACCAATAGTTTTCAGTATGCTTTGGGAATATATACATCACATTAACCAAGAAATTGTTGACCTCCGGATGTCAAGCAGTAAAATTCATAATCCTCATTTCTCACCAAAAAACAAAAAATGAAAAAAGAAAAAGAAAGTGTGAGCAAAAAGAACAGGCAGATTTGGACAAAAAATTTTGCGTCACAGTGTTTAGTATTACAAATTCCCGTGGCAAAGAACAAAGAAAAAATCATCGAAACCGTGAAGGTACATGATTTGTATCATAATAAATTATCGATACTATGAATTCATACCTTGGGTGGGACTTCGGAGAAAGGAAATTATGAATTTGTGATTCAGAAACTATACGTTCAAATTGACAGAAAAATGAGAAATGCATCATAAACACAACATATTGAATGCAGCTAAGACACTTAATTCGACAATAAATCCAAAAGCCCTTTCTCTTTACTTTTCCAAAACACCAAAAAAATCATAAAAATGCTTCAAAATAACTAAAATGAGAAGAAATTACAAAAGCATTGCAAGATTTCTTCCATAATAATAATAATAAAAACACGTTAAACGGCACGGCTAGTTTCCAAAATGACAATTGATATTCAAACTAAACGAAAATTTGGACAAAACCCCTTATTATAATAAATCAAAACAAAAGTTCCCAGATAAGTATTAAAGCAAAAAAAAACAAAAAACAAAAAACAAAAGTTGCACCTCTCGGATCAAAGCAAATCTGGGGTGAGTTGAGAAGCGGATCAACCCCAAGTTCGAGTTATTTTCCTCGCTTTTCGACAAACCCCAACGATTCGTTATATCGTCAGGTATCGCTTTCCGTGTGTGAGATGGAAAAACAGAGACCCTGAAATATTAATGATAAATATAGATACAGCTGTATCTATTGCAACTAACAATGTAACTATAGAGATGCACCTTTAAGACTCCTTTTTTACCGTCCAAGAAAACAATATACACGGTTGGTTTCGGTTTACGCTTCTTCTTCTTTTTCTTTTCCATTTTATAAGTAAGTCGATGTATGTACTTGAACAATATCTATTTAAAAGAGGTCGTCTGGTTGTAATTTTCTAAATTCAAGAAAGTACGGGTGTATTCTCTTTGTCGTTTTCGAGCCGTTTTCTGTTTTCGATTTTTCAAAACGGTGAAAACGCGTTCTTTTTCTCGTTTTCGAAAACGAAAAAAAAATTGTGAAGAAAACGCAATCGCTTTGAGCGTTTTCAGTACAAAATTCAAAAAAATTTAAAACACGGGAAATGATTCCAAAACAACAAAAAAACGCATTTTCAGCATTTTCAAAACAGATACTCAAAACTACAAAATTGAAATACGAAAAGAACAGTCCCTACTTTTTTGACCTTTTTTTTCAAAGTGGATCTCACACAAGACACAATCAGTCAATTAAAGTGGCTGTCAACGAGAAGAATTCTGCTGCCAACGATAATAATTTGGTTGAAAATTTCTTCCAAACAAGTGCTAAGAATAATAAGTTTGAACATTAATCGAGTATTTACTATCTACTCGAGTTAAAAGATGAACAATAAGTGCAGAGTGGTTGATGGATTTTGGAACGTTTTTAATTTTGGTGTTAATTGATTAGAGGAATTGAGCCTGAAAAACGTACTGTTGATCTTCTCTTTCACGTAACAAATGTTATTTTAAATTTCATTATTTGTACTCTTTAGTATATAAATCAACTTATATTTAAAAACTAAGAAAGAGACATGGATTGAGTTGCAAACAAGATTGAAAAATAGTATTAGAACCTAAAAAGAAATGGTGGCTTATAAACAAGAACACGGAAGACCGTAAAACAAGTTGGAAGCCAGTTAATGGCCATTGTTAGTTCTATTCATTGTGTAATAATAATGGAAATAAAGAAAACAATAGTTTGTATTTAAAAGCTATCCTTTTCTTGGCATGAAAAGAGGCTTCTGTGATGGGAAACTTTCCTTCTTGAATTTCTTCATTCATTCGTAATAGTCAAGAACAATTATTTCAAGTTGTTTCGCGCGGTTTAATTCGCTAACAATTAAAGAGAATCAGACGATTGTGTAAGGGACGAAACCTCTTGAGACAAAGTCCCAAAAATGGGTGTTCTTTTTATTGGCGATGAACTTTACAATTGGAAACAGAAAACAACGTGCCTCCAAGGGGCGCAAGCACACGAGTTACAGAAAAGGAAATGTTTAAGTCTAAAAGCTAAAGGAATGAAAATTACATATTCTCTGTTCGAGAGTTTTGGATTCGGTCTTTTCTTCTAAGTTCTTTCTCTCTTTTATACTTCATAGGCGATCCCTTTGTGATTAACTGCTCTAAAAAACTGCTTGATCGCCCTATAACTACCCACTTTTTTTGTAGTGGCCATTTTGTCATGCAACTGTCCTTTTAACTGCTATCATTATCTTGCATCGTTTAACCGCTTTGGATTGAACCCCTCGAGTCGTGGAACGTGATAAAGTTACTTTAGCAACTGTCTCAATAACTGCATCATAATGCGTTATGTTTGTTGATACCTTGGGCGACTTGAACATTTGGGCGAGACTTTGGACGACCGTATGCCACTCTATTCGTTCAGACTCTGAGCGACTTGCAAACTTGGACGATGGCGTTACCGCACTATTGGGCCCCTTATTTGGGCATTCACCTTGATTCGTTCAATTGGATTTCGTTCTTTGGGCTATCTGATTTGGGGATCCTCCCATTGGGTTTTATTCTCTGGGCTGTTCAATTTGGGCTGAATTTTTATGTGTCAACACAAGTAAAATTCGTACGCATTGTATTTAAGAAAATGTTGTTTGGGCTGGTTATGTTCAATCGGCGTGTGTAAAACTCACTTTTATAGTGAATTTGATCTTTCGAATTTCATTATTTCAAGGAGAATGTTATTCTAAAACAAATTTTCCTACCCAAACTTTATGGTGCGTGCTTCTTTCTTTTCTTTTTTCCTCTTTTTGAGGATTTCTTCACTTAAGATATTGTAAATTGAAGAATCCTATTATACTTGTGTGGCACGTATTTCTCCGAATCTTGTCAATTATATCGGTTCCAACAAATTTAGCCCATGTTTAGTGGTCATTATTTCTGTTCTAAAGAGTTTTGGATGGTATTTTTTAAGAGGATGTATGGTTAAAAAGTTAGAAATTTTTTTAGATTTATATACAGAATATTATGTTGTATGAATGTGTGATTAAAATGATTCTATAGAAAGAAAGAGTTTTAAAATAATGAGAATTAAACAGGAGATTAATGTACAGCTACAATCCTGATTTGAATTATCCATCTAATAGATATATGATCTCTCTCTTAGATTTAATGGTACATAAATATTTTATAATAATGTAATAATATTCATGAATCTATCTCGAAATTCATTCTTCATCCCTTTTGATTAGGTAAAACAATCTGACTCATTAAAACTAGAATAAAGCTACTCTTATAAAGTAGTTTTACAAAAGTGAAGATACCAAGTGTGTTGGCAAAATGTAGGCCACTGATTTGAAATGATTTAAAAATTTATTTTTGAAATGATTGGTGTGAATGTTATTTTGTAATCCAACTTTGTAATCTAACTTTGTAAGTGTAGCATGACTCAACTAGAACTTAAAACTAACGGTAGTAGGTGAAGAAGCATTTGCAGAAATAGAAACGTCATTGACTGATAAAAATTAAATAAAAAATATTGTTTAATACCAAAATGGATAAAAATAAAATGAAATAGATATAAAGCTGCTTAAACGACATAGTTAAAGTTAGTAATTTGACAAGTAAATAATAGTAAATATTTTTTCTCAATTTTTATACTTGTTCAAAAAAAATTTTAAAAAAATTATAATGTGATTGAGAGAAAAGATGATGAAAAAATAGCTCTTTTTTGTTGCATGTATTAATACAATTAATCTAGTCGTACAAAACAAGTTGACAAAAATGGTTGAGAAAACAAGTGTTGGCAGATTCTTGACATTTGATTTCAAATTATTCAAAAAAGTGTTTTTGAAATAATTGGTATAGATGTTGTTTCTTAAACCATCTTTGTCAACCAATTTTATACAAGTAGTATGACTCATATTAATAACAGTTGGTTGGATGTGTAATGCACGTGTTTTATTTATGGTCGAAGTCGGCAATTAAAGTTGTTGGTTTAATATTGATAATTTGGTGAAGAAAAATATTATTAGTTAGTATTTAGAACAAAAATAAAAAATCGAGCAATTTAAATATTGCAAACTTACCATTTATTTCAATTTTGTTATGTGACAAGGTAACCTCATAACTCATAAGTCATGATTTATTAATAATATATGTGTAAATAGTAAATACAGTGAATCATTTATAACGAAGTCAAATTACTTTTGGGAATATAGCAATGGAGATCCTCAACGTTTCATGTATGTTGCATTTTGTTAGTCATTGAATGAATGGTAAAACACTTTCCTCTCCTTTGTTATATTATCAAAATATTAAAAAATATATATAAACCACGCAATATTCTTATTTTTAAAAATAAATGGTAAAATCATCCATGAAGGACCTAAAGTTGAGGTGTGAGTATTACTTTTAAATGTTGGGGATCAAAGTGAAAAAAAACTCTTGGTAAACATTAATCAAGTAGAGCACGTATTGTTAATTAAAGATGTTGAAGTTTGACATCGTGCCTCTTAAATAAATAGTTCAGAAAACTATTCATGTACTAATTACAAGATCAAACACCATAGTAGTGAAATTAGATTTGACAATTGTCGTTGTAATTTATGAGACATCACGATTTTTAATCACTACCACACTTCCCACACCTTGCGACCAACCACTCCCAGTATGACACGTAGCAACCATGGCATCAGTATCTGATTTTGAACCAATTACAAGCGAGTAATAATTACTCAGTATCTAGCATAATTGCCTAACGCTGAAGCTAGAGAATAGCATCATAAAAGACATGTTTGGCCTACCTCAACAACCAATCAGGAAAGTAAGACTTTCAACGGTGGCACACACTTCTTGTAGGAATTGGTTCAAATATTAAATGAAAATGTGTGTAAAAAATGGAAAATGAAAAGGTGTGACTACGTGTCAACTTCGATCAAATATTAGGACTTGATCCGATGGTCAAATTATAAAAGTAAATATATCAACTTATTCTACTCGTTGAGTAGATCGTCGTGGAACATTTGGAATCTCGAAATCAATTCCGGATGAATGAGAAATTCGGACCAAAATTGGAAGAAATGAAGTGTTGCAACTTTTCGAAAGGTGCAGGTTTTGGCCAAGTGTTGCAACTTTTCGAAAGGTGCAGGTTTTGGCCAAGTGTTGCAACTTTTTTGAAAGGATGCATGTTTTAGCTCACACTACTTCATTTGCACCCTCTCTACATCTATAAATAGAACCCTATGGACATGATTTTGGATACACTAATTGTATTGAGCATTCATTCTTCTCTTGCAATTTTCTTCTTTCTAATTCTATATCATTTCATACATTTCCTTTGTAGAGGGGAAGTTCTGTCAAAAGTTTGTCTGTTTCTTGTGGTTTGAAGTGCTGTTATCACAAGTTGTGAATCCATTGTATCTTAGGAGACAAGTGTCATTCACCGTGGGTACCGTAGCGGGGCAATTTGTCTTAAGGAAAGAGATAACATCTCGCTTTGGATTATCCTGTATTTCTACTCCTTCTTAATCCTTGTTTTGCGTAATCTTTATACCGAAACTCTATCCAAATTTTAATTCATATAAATTATGTTTTGATCACGCTCTTGCGGGTTAAAACTGGTCAAACAAATATATCAAAAACCAACCCTTACATAACCCTTTTTATAAATTGTCTCCAACAATTTTAAGACAAACTTGTGTGTCTTTGTGGTTGGTTGTGGACAAACATTAC